TTCTTACTCCGTTTGGTGTTCGGCTGAGTTCTTTATCTCTTCATTTGATGTTCTAGGGTTTCAGGATTGTTGATTGTCTGTTTGGCTTAGTTTTTCGGATCTTTGTTGTGGAGGGACGGCGTGGTGCTTCTGCCTAGACCGCCATCTTGCCGGAGTCCCTCCTATGTATACTCTTTTGAAACCATGGTGGCATAGTGTTTAAGTGCTACAGCTGCTAACCAAAAGGTCGGCAGTTCAAATCTACCAGGCCGTCCTTGGAAACTCTATGGGGCAGTTCTACTCTGTCCTATAGGGTCGCTGTGAGTCGGAATCAACTTGACAGCAACAGGTTTGGTTTTTTGGTTTTATACTCTTTTTCATAAAGAGAAAGTGAATAATAATAATATAAGCCCACAATCCCTTGTCTAAAACCTTTGAGTCCTGATCTCAGAACTCGTTGCTGTCAAGTTGATTGCGACTCATAGAAACCCTCTATGACAGAGTAGAAGTGCCCCATAGGGTTTCCAAGGCTGTAATCTCTACAGATGCGGACTGCCACATCTTTCTCCCATGGAGCGGCTGGTGGGTTCAAACTGCTGACCTTTCAGTTAGCAGCCGAATCCTGTTTCAGAAGGGCAGTACAACACGTATAGCATGGTGGCACAGTGGTTAAAATGATTGACTTCCAGCTGAAAGGTTGGCGGTTCGGAACCACCAGCAGCTCCATGGGAGAAGCAAGTGGCAGTTTGCTTCCATAGAGATTTATAGCCTTAGAAACCCTATGAGAGCAGAGGGTTTTTTGGTTATATGAACATCCCCAGCAGTACTCACTCAACATGTTACTGTTTCTTCAGCAAAACATATATGAGTTTTCACACTAAATGAGATAAAGCTATTTATAAGTAGCCCGAGGTCAGGTCAAGTCAGGTTCTATTGCCAAGTGAGTTTGGTCATTATAAAAAAAACTTGGTTTTCAGAGCTTTTTAAATTTTGGATTGTGGGTCAGAAATTATGGACCTGAAAGTAAGATTTATTGAAGATTTGCCATATGCCAGGCACCATGCTAAATGCTTTATGCATTATCCATTAAATCCTCGCAATAACTTTATGATGTCGATACGTCTAGTGTTCATTTTACAAATGGGGAACCTGATGCATAGAGGAGTTAAGTAACTTGCCCATGGTCACCCAGCCAATAAGTAGCAAAGCTAGGACATGACCCTGACCATAATGGTAATACAAAGGCAACACATACTAAGTGCTTGTTGTGTGCCAGGCACTGTTCTAACCATTTTGCATATTCTCAGTCATTTGAGCCACACCACAGCCCTTTGAGATAGGCACTGTTATTATCCCCACTGAACAGGTAAGAAGCCACAGGGAGATTGCATACTGTGCCCAGGGTGCAATCTGACAGCTAGTATGATTGCAGAGCATGCTTGCTTAGCCTCTGTACCATATGGTATGGCTTCTTAGCAATACAGCAGCTGGCTATGAGGGTCAACAAAATAAATGACTACATTAAAGGTCAGGGCAGTTCTCTCCCAGTTGATTTCCTCATGCACCAACACTGAGACTGCTCTCCTTATAGTTTGATAGATTCCGTGCAGAATTTATCTTTTGTTTTTACTGAATCATTTACCATGGGTCCCTTCACATCTGCTTGCACCAGCTCTCCCATCGCATAGCCCTGCCTTATTTATCAATGCAGTGTGAACGAGCACTCAGCATCCTTTCTAAAATATGTCCTGGGATGTTTGGGAGAGGTCTGACTTTCAGTGCCCTCTAGTCAGCCAAGTCCTCCCCAGCCATCCTTGACTCTTCCTTGAATAGACTCCCAGGCACAGCCAACATTAAAAATTGCACCTTTGATGTTATAAAGAGACGTAAAGTCCTGCCGAATGCCAGTTTAAGGAGCCTGATGGTGCAAATGGTTAAGCACTCAGCTGCTAACTGAAAGGTTGGTGTTTCAAGCCTACGTAGCCACTCTGCAGAAGAAAGATCTGGCGATCTGCTCCCTTACAGATTACAGCCTAGGAAACCCTATGGGACAGTTCTACTCTGTCACATGGGGTCTATAAGTCGGAGTCAACTCGATGGCACCCAGTAACAACAACAACAATGCTAGTTTACTAGTGAAATTTATTCTAGAAAACAATTTCATTCTCTGAATAATTCTTTTGGTCACTATCTTCAATCAGTGGATTATACCGACCGTTAGAAGATAGGGGAAAAGTCTTCTCTGACACCATCCTTCCTCTCTCAGCGTGAGCTCTGCAGTTCTCAAGCAGAATAGTTTTGCTCATCTCCAGTAAGCTTATGGCTTTAAAACTTATCTTACACTGCAGATAGCTACATGTAGTGGAACTCACCAGGAGTTACCAGACATTTTGTTTGGAGAGCCTGGTCCTGTCTGGGAGTAGTCTCCTTTCCTCATTTGTTTAATCCAGAGAAGAACTGGCCAGTTTTACCAACATTGAGATGGCGCATTCAGATGAAAATACCCCAGAATTCTCCTGTAGCTGGCAATTTTTCACTAACTGTTTCTAGTCTTAAGTATTCAAAAGATGTACGTGGTCCATTTGCTTATAAAAATGGCCTTGCTCCTCCACTTGGCACTGGGCCGTGTGTGGCAATGGGGAGACCGTCAGCGTTTTACTGCCGCGTTGAAGGGTGGTTTTTCCTGCAGGCTAGCAGTGCTTTGCTGTTGTGGAATGTGCCCGCGTGCAGTACGCTTCTGGATCATTGCTTAGTTTGCAGCTACACTGGTTGCAGTGTCTTCACCAAAGCAGGGACTGAATTCAGTAATACCTGTAACGTCACTGAAGGAAGAGCTTGGCTTGCCCTCGTCCCGTGCCCCCTCTGTTTTGCACAGAAGTGTCCTAAAGCTGATGTACCTCCATATGGCTGGAGGTAACATAATGCTGGTGCACTTTTTCTGGAAGCTCAGTGAAGCGCTAATGGCCATCGAGTCTATTCTGACTCACAGCTACCCTATAGGACAGGGTTTCCAAGGCTGTCATCTTTACAGAAGCAGACTGCCACATCCTCCAGCGGAGCAGCTGGTAGGTTTGAACTGCTGACCTTAGCAGTTGAGCGCTTACCCACCGTGCCACCAGAGCTCCTTCCTATAGGGCTATAGGGTGGTAAATGGTATTTTACTCCCCAGTTTTGGCTGACTTGCTTTTCCTTTGCTCTTTGTTACTGCCTTTCTTCTTTGCTCCTCATTCCTGGTGGCCTCTACTCCAGGGTCCTCACCACTTCTGAGTGCTCCCCCTGCATCTGCTGTCCTCATTGTCCTTTTCTCTCCTTATCTCTTTCCTCCTTGTTCCCTTTCCTTCCCGTCACTTCCTCTGGCCTGAGCATTAACCAGCACAGTACGTTTGGTGTAACCTCTGCTTCTTCTCAGATATTTTCTCTGTCCGTGGAGGCTCAAGAGCTGCTTATTTGCAGCAGGAGAGATTTTCTTTTATTTTTTTTCCACTCCTTTTACTTCCAGATTCAGTGCCATTCTGGTTGTCTGAGGTGGCCAGACCTCCGTATGAGCAACACTGCCCTGATGATGACTGCTTGCATTTCATTTATACTGGAGTAAACCCAAAAAAACCAAACATGTTGCCATCAAGTCAATTCCAACTCACAGTGACCCTGTAGGACAGTGTAAAACTGCCCCACATGGTTTCCAGGGAGCGGCTTGTGGATCCGAACTGCCGACCTTTTGGTTGGCAGCCGAGCTCTTAACCACTGCACCACCAGCACTCCCTGCTAGACTAGACTCGAAAATTACTACATAGAGTGCTGTTAGATTGATTTTGAAGTATTGTGTGGGAATCTCTTTGGATCAAAATTTGATATATAGATGAAGATTATAGGATCCTACCTTCATTTTGTTTACTATCAGCCACTTCGAGTACATGATTTTAGGGGTCAGCATACTCCTAAAATAGCTCACCATATGGCAGACCACTCAAGGCAAAGAGAAATATGCAGCCTTTTGTTTTGTGGGTTTTCCCCCTCCCTGAAATGAAAGATTTACCATACATGAAAAATAAAATACTGTGGTATGTTAAGTACATCTAGGCATGTAAATAAGTGATCTAGTGATCTTTCCTTCTTGGGTGAACTTGAATCATGAAGCCACTTAAATGTATACTGCACAGAAATTCACCCAGAGGTGAATTTAACGTATATGTAAAGTGCTACCCGAGACAGCACGGACTGGAGACCTGAAATAGAAAGTGTAAGTTTTTTAGAAGGTGAAAGGAGATCATTGCATGCTTACGGGTTCTGTAGACCATTTTTATAGTAGACCATTTAGGTCCCGTACTCAAGATAAAGCTGGATATAGTGTTTTGTTCTTAAAAGAGAGAAACTTATATTCATCCTTGTATAATAAAAAGCAAGCCACCTGAACTTAATTTGAAACTCACATTACAGTCAAAATAGACATTTCCTATTTAAGAAGAAAATATTAAATGACTCAGTTAATTTGCATTGTGATTATACCTGTACATATAAATTGCAGTTGAAGTCAGTCCCAAATAGAAAGTTTTCAAGTATTCAGATAAGGTTCAGGTCGTCCGATGCAGGAATTCTAAGTGTCTTGAATTTTCCCCCTTGTACTCATAGTTTACACTAGGTGGCATGCAAGGAAAGCTGAACACAGCCAGAGACTTAGTTCTGTGAAGCTGACTTCTTTGGCACTGCTCACGTTCCGGAGGTTCAACTTTGGAATTAGCTATTTATTTGAGATTATTTTCCTTTTCTTCCCCCAGGATGAAGTGTCCTCTTGCTGGTACAAATAAAAGATTTCTAATTAACACAATTAAGAACACACTGCCCTCCCATAAAGAGCAAGACCACGAGCAAAAAGAGGACAACAAGGAGTCTGTGAAAAGCCAGCCCCAGAAGGAGGGAAGCCCGAAGAAACACAGGACCCATCCTTACAAGCACAGTGTCCAGGCGCGGAGCAGAGCCAGGCACTCACCTCCAAGGAAGCGGAGTAGCCAGGAGAAGTCCCACAGGCGCTCAAACAAACGATGAGGTGGCCGTGAAGAATAAGCAAGCCTGTGACAAGAGACTGATGCCGTTATACTTGGGATTGGGGGTTGTGTGGCTTTCTTTAAGCAAAGGAGGTAGTTGAGTACAGGTCTTTAGCTGGCAGACAGAATGTCCAAGAGTGATTGTTAGAGTAGATCCTTTGTTGTTTGTAAAGAGGCCGAGGGTGACAAGCAAAAAATGACCTAGTTCTTCAAGGAAATTAGTGCAAAGGGTCTTGCTCTGAAGATGTCTTGGCAAGTGTAAGCTACTTCTGCGATGTAGGATACATATATATTGTTTTTATTCTACCTTGTTTGGAGGTTAGTTTCAAAGTAAGCAAATCTAGAATTTAAAAGTCCTTAGAGATTGTTAAAAAATAGTTTCTTTTTTCCCTTTGGATGTGCTACATTTGTGGTCATTTCTCAAAATTTTTTGAACAATAAAATACTTGTCAGTCCTCTACTTCACACTTTTGGGTGTCACATTTAAAATTTAGAAATCATCCAGCCAGTAACCATTTCTATGAAAAGTTGTAGCCCTTCAGGGGTTGGGGACTTACGAAGAAACTCTTTGGTAACTCTGCACTTGTCTTCCTTGAAGTGAACAGTGTAGGACGTTTCCAAACTGGCTTTGAATTTTGTGCTCCCTACCAGTTCTCAGAGGGGAAAAATTGGCTCTGTTGTTTCCTTGTGCATTTTTATACGCATTCCTGAAATATAACAGTTTCCTGAATTTAATATTGTTGACTCTATAGCTTTTAAGAGGTGCTTTAAAAAGAACCCTCAAGTTAACATTAACATAATTATTTTAGTGCTATATCTTCTTTAGCTAAAATACTACTCATAGTATAGTTGTTCCAGAAAACTTAATTTTAAACGAAGTGGGTTTACAGCACTTTTTTTTTCCTTTTCGAGTATCACTGTGAGTCTGTTTTAACATACAAATTGCAAGCCGTTCGAACCTGTATTTTTCCCTTCACACTCAGGAAAATGTCACCCAGCACCCTCCTCCTGGTCCACAAAGGGAAGAAGAATCTGTCTCTCTTGCCCCCTCCCCAAGTTTCCAAAGCGTCTGAGCTTATGCCTGGCTGCTCCCAGATAATCACTGCCACAGCCGTGTTCCCAGCTTCCTGGCAGCCAAGAAAAGCCTTTTCTGCAGGCTAGAAGGGGGCATATCTGAGAAGCTAGCGTTGGAGTCTTACAGAGAAACTAGAACAGAGCGTGCATCGCTCCCAGCACGACGCTGCTGTGCCATACCCTCAGTGGGCTCCACGCCTCGAGCTCAGCAGTGACAAACCCACCGCTGGATCCGCTTGATCCACCCCCACCTCGCACCCCTGAGCCTAGGGCCGCCTCCTATTACTTTGTAACAACACACATTCCTCTTAAACGCAAAATTTGTTTTGCCCTTCTCCAAATCTAGTTATGTATTCGCCTGTATTTGTGCTGTAATTTTGAAATGTTTTCTCTTTAAATATTAGAGATAGTATAGAGTCGTGGAAGTAAAAATAAAGCTTCATTGTATCATTTGCCCATCTGTTCTATTTATAACAAACTAGCAAGATCGTTATCCTTTAAAGGGAGATAATTATAATGAGCACATTTTTACACTTAAGAGTATGGTTAAGGGAAGCTTTTTAGCTTAATCATATTTACCTTCTTTATATAAGTTGTTAAAGGGTAAGTCACCTGCAAAATCACTTTCTCTTTAAGAAGCAAGTTTCCACTTCTTAAAATTTTGTTAAAATCTTATTTAAAATCTATTTAAAACTTTCATCAAATATAGCCATAGTTTCGTATATGTAAAGGTCAAGGGCAAATTATACGTTTTTACTTCATATCTATATACAGTTGGTGTTAGGGGAGGAATTTGTATTGACTCTGAGATATCACACACACCAGCCACCTCTTTACTTCTCTGGTTAACCTGTTGGCACTGCCAAGAGTGTTTGTCTGTGTTGGGATTACTAGCTAATAGCCAGTATAGCCATCTTTAGAGCTAAGAAGTGGTCAGAAAGCCCTGGGTGGAAGTCAGAACAAATGTGGATCTTAGTCCTGCCTCTGCTGCTGGCTAGCTGTGGGGCTGTGTGGTCTCTTTTCTGGACATCATTTTCCTTATCTGCAAGCTAACATGATTGGATCAAGACTCTAACTTTGAAATCAATACAGACAGTATAAAATGTTCATTCCTGAGTTTTAGGAACTGTATTTCATGTTTCTACTAGAAAGCAATAAGACTTAAACACTAACACAACTGTCTCTGTTTCTTACAGCTGCTGTAACAAAGCACTGCAGACTTGGTGGCTAAAAACAACAGAAAGTTTTTCTTTGCAGTTCTGGAGGCCAGAAGGTCGAAATGAAGGTGTAGCAAGGCCACACTCCCTCCAAAGGCTGTAGAGGAGAATCCTCTTCTGCCTCTTCCAGCTTCTGGTGGCTCTAGGCATTCCTTGGCTTGTGGCAGCATCACTCCAATCTCTGCCTCCATCTGAACCCTTTTCTCTGAGTCTTTGTGTCTTTTCTTCCTATAAGGACACTTGTCACTGGATTTAGGGCCCACCTAGTTAATCCAGGATGATCATATCTTGAGATCCTTAATTACATCTGCAAAGACCCTTTTTACAAATAAAGTCACATCCACAGGTACCTGGTGTTAGGACCCGGACATAATTCCAAAAGGAATTAGTAGACTATCCTGACGCTGTATGGACAGTAAGATTTATTGTCTATCACCTGTGGTCAAACCCTGATAGGTCTTTTACCTGGGTCCATTTAGTCATCCCACAACCCTGTGAAGAAGGTACTTTTAGTCCCATTTTAAAAATAAGGAAACTGAGCATAGGTTAAAAAATTTGCCCAAGATCATAGAACTGAAAGTGGCAGAAATGCTGTTTGAAGCCAGGACTGTCTGAATCCAAATCCCATCTTCCATATTCTTTCCCCTACCCTGTGCCAAACTTGATTCAAACTCAGCTCCGTCAAAACGCAGGACTGGGATATCTCAGTGTAGCCATGGCCCATACGGACTCATGGATTCCCAGTTTAAAAGCCTAAAGAACATATTACAGTCAATGCATTTTATTGGTTGAAATGTTCCCCGGGAGACCTGAGGGCTAAAGCCCCATCCAAAGAACATTTGCACTGGGAATTGTTCCCCTACAGGCTAGTTTAGAATAGCCATCCAACTCCAAGAGGAAAACACAGCTCTACTCAATAATGGTTCAATGGCAGCCAATGGACTACATCTAGGAGAAACTCAACTCTCATACCCATTGCCATCAAGTCGATTCCGACTCATAGCAACCCTGTAGGACAGAGTAGAACTGCCCCATAGGGTTTCCAAGGAGCAGCTGGTGGATTCAAACTGCCAACCTTTTAACCACTCAACCACTGAGCCACCAGGCTCCTTAAACTCTCATGGAAGCCAGTATTTTAGGATATTTCATATTTTTCCATACACAATGTATATAAAAATGATTTGTACACACAAAGAAAATAGGAAGATTTGGAAGTTAAGAAGTCTTAGAGTCGAGGCTTCTTTCGTTCCATAAATAACATCATAACATGCAGAAATTATGTAAGTAACATCATAATATTCTATGATCCAAGGCCCACCTCGTAAAGGCATGTCAACAGATCATAGTTTGAGCCCTGCGCTACGGCCCATCCGAGTCTGGGTAATGAGAAGGCTAGCCTGGCAAATGAAAACCCTTGCTCTCAATTTGGAAAAGACTGCCAGGAAGCAAGCACTCATCTGCACAGGAACACGTAAAAAAATTAATCTACATTAAACCAGCAACACGACACTGTGAGCACAATTCAGAGGAATGTTACAATTTTTATTTGGGTTATCATGTTACAAATTTCAGCAGAAGCCCCTGAGAATTATGAAAAGACCAGCAGTAAACATCATTAATAGTTGACTAGAGCTATTTCTCCCAACTCTACCAATTGGAGCCCTGGTGGCACGGTGGTCAAAAGGTCAGCAGTTCGAATCCACCAGCTGCTCCTTGGAAACCCTATGGGGCAGTTCTACTCTGTCCCACAGGATCATTATGAGTTGGAATCAAACTCAATAGCAACTGGTTTGGGTTTTTTTTTTTGGTTTTTATATACCCATTGCTGTTGAGTCGATTCCAATTCATAGAAACCCTTTGGACAGAATAGAACTGCCCCATAGTGTTTCCAAGGCCGTAACCTTTATTGAAGCAGACTGCCACATCTTTCTCCCACAGAGCAGCTAGTTGGTTTGAACCACCAACCTTTCAGTTAGCAGCGAAGCGCTTAACTGCTGTGCTACCAGGGCCCCTTCCCAACTATATAGCCCTGTAATTTTTTACCTCTTGTTTTAATAACCTATTAAATACCCCTTATCTGAGGCATAAACTCCAGATATAGCACATCTTATTAAACATCTGAGGGCAATATTTCTCCACCAGATAAATTTATAGTCTGCCCTCACTGCTGGTCCCCTATCCTGACAAAACTTTTTCTCACTAATTCCTCAGGGGTAGTTCCCTCAAGATAAACTAGTATATACTGTCCAATCACAAGCTTCTATTTACTCCAAATTACAGATCCACCAGCCTGCTGGAGAGTCTTTTAAAGCTCAATGCCAATTTACGAAGAAAAAGCTGCAAGACTTGTATTTAATCCAGTATCCAAGATGAAGAACAAATCATTCATTCCTTCATTCACTCTAGCACTCTCAGTAAACAGCCTAATATATTCCAAGCACCAAGCTGGGCCCAGACTTGAACAATTTTTAACACCTGTGCTCAAAATCTTCTAGGTGATGTTCATGGCTTCTGTATTTAAAGGTGTGGTAGTATTTGTGCAGCATGATATTTGCTTCCTAAAAATTTTTCGGCCCTGCCTGCACGTACTCCAATCTTCCACGTTTGTGGAGCAATTGGTGGATGTTCATCAGCACACAAGCAGGGCTGATTCTTCCATTTTTTTAAGTTAAAATTTTTATTTTGATGAATTCTAAAAATATACATGTATCTGATGAATCTTAAAAATATGTATGTGAATCTCAAAAATATTAACA